ACGACACTATTCCTCCCACAAACAACACCCTCCCTTACAACAGCAATACTCTCCCTCCCACTAACAAAACCCTCTCTTCCACTAACGAAACCCTCCCTCTAACATTCAACACCCTCCTTTCCACAAACAATACTCTCCCTCCCAGAAACAACGCCTTCCCTCCCACGAACAAAACATTTTCTCCCATTAACAACACTTTACCTCCCTTCAACAACACCCTCACTCCCACCTACAACACCCTCCCATCAATAATACCCTCCCTCCCACAAACAACGCCTTCCCTCCCACCAGCAACACACTCCCTCCACCGTCAATACTCCTCCTTCCCCAACAATACCCTTCCCTCACCAATACTACCCTCCTACCTTCAGCAAAACTTCTTTATGCACCTAAAACCTCCTGTGCCCCAAGGCATGGTTCTCACCCCACTATTGTTCCTCATTCTCAGTTCTGATATAGACAGGGATATAAATCATAACACTATCATTTTTTGCAGACGATACTGGAATCTGTATGAAAGTAGCATCCATAGCAGACACAGCGAGCCTCCAAGCTGACGCTTTCCTCCAGTGGGCCACTGACAACAATATATTCAGTGAGGGCAAATTTCGGTTATTATACCATGGGATGAAAACAAGATTAGAGAAAGAGACAAACTCAAACCACTTAATAGAATGTAAGTCAAATGTAAGAGACCTTGAAGTGATAGTCAAAAGCTCTCACGTTCAAGGAGCAGCACAACATTATCATCGATACCTAAAGAAAAATGATAGGATGGAAAACTAGAACCTTCGAAATAAGAGATGCTAAACTAATGATGACACTCCTCAGGTCACTCATTGTCTCTAGGCTGGAGTATTTGTGTACTAACGGCCCCCTTCATGGTAAGAGAAATTGCTAATATGGAAAATATACAGAGAACATTCACAGCCCGCATAAACTCAATCAAGCACTTGAAGTCCTTTAGACCCTAGAGGAGACAAATACATCATAATCTACACCTGGAAGATACTGAAAGAAATGGTCCCAAACCTGCACACCGAAATTGATAATTACGAACACAAGAGGATTGGCAGACGATGCAGGATACTGTAATGAAAAGTAGAGAGCGATGAGTACAGGGTATTGTTTGGGCACCTCAACTCGCAGTGTTCGAGAGGGAACTCGATAGATTCCTCATAACAGTTCCTGATCAACCGGGTTATGATGTATGCGTTGGACTACAGGAGGCGGGAACTAACAACTTGATCGATCAGGCCAGTAATCAGGGAGCCTGGTCTGGGACCGGGCCGCGGAAGCGGCGACCTCCGGAAGCGACTTGAGGTAAACTCCCTCGAACAATACACGCCTCCACCAAGAACATCCTCCCTCCCCCTACAGCACCCTAGTTCCTACCAACAACACACTCCTTCCACTAAGAATACCTTCCCTACCACCAACTACACACACACACACACACACCCTTCAACAACACACTCCCTTCTCCAACATACCCCCTCCCTCACTCCACCAACATTACTCCCTCCACCAATAACAAACTTCCTCCCATAAATAGGAAGGTCCTTCCACAAATAACACCATTCTCCAACAACACCCTACATTAATATCCACCCTCCACCATCAGCACTCTTCTCCAATACCCTTCAACCTCCAACAGCCCTCTCCCACCATCAACAACACCCTCCCAACATCAACATTACCCTCCCACCATCAACATCACCCTCCCATCATCAACATCACCCTCTCATCATCATCATCACCCTAACATCAACATCCGCCGTCCATCAATATAACTCTCTCATCATCAACAAGTCTCTTTTTTCCAAAAACCATCCCTTCTTCATCAACATTCTCGCTTCTTCATCAACACACTCTTCATACCTCCAGCAGCACCCTCTACAAACACCCTCTATCGCCCAACAACGCTCTTCCACCTCCAACATCCTTCTCCAACAATTTCCTCTATCAACACCCCCTCCCTCCCTCCACGAACAGCATCCTCCATCAGTAACACGTTCTATCAACAATGTCCCTCCACCAACATCCTCCATCAATAACACCTATCAACAACCCCCTCCCTCCCTCCATCAACAACACCCTCCCTCCACCAACAACATCCTCCCTCCACTAACAACATCCTCCATCAATAACACCCTCTCCCTCCCTCCACAACAACATCCTCCATCAATGACACCCTCTATCTATCAACAACCCCCTCCCCCCGTCCCCCACCAACAACACACGCGCGGCCTCACCTGCACAATACAGGATACACACTCTTCCTCCCTCCTTCCTGCTGTGAGTGTTCCTTCACTGCCTCCGCAGCTTCCTAGAGGCGGCTTGCGCGGGGCGGCGGCAGTTATAGGATCCAGGAGGAAGGGAAGTCCTGCCATCCTGCCGCCGGCCTGCCGCTACTGGCCGCCGCCACTAGCCGCCACTGCTGCCGCTACAGTGGTGCCGGCGGGCCAGCAGCCGGGTTAGGCTTGCGTCCCCTCACTCC